CACAACATCTCAATTCATCAGTTTTGTTTTCCGCAAAACCTGTGCCCACATCTCCTAGCTACCATATATATTTGAAATAAGTGGACTGCAATTCACCTCATAAATCTGAAATTGCAGCTCCCTCCTAATCTATTAGTAGCCCCTCTATAAACCGCATTCTGCCCGTGGATTTAACATCAATCCACGGTCAGTATTCAATCCACCCCTAAAATCTTAGCTCCACCCTAGGGGTGGACTAAACTGTTAAAACCTATATTTTTCATTCCCTAATCTTCTCATTGGAAAATCATTGTATGTAATTGATTTTCCATTTGCATTAATAATTTGTGTTGCTGCCATGACACCTCATCAAAAGCTGAGGCGACACTCTCATCGGCCGAGATTTCCAGCAAATTCCCTATTTCATTCTTGTTGCAAACTTTGTTCCAAAAATTGCACAAACTCAGTAATTTATTAGTGTTAATATCAATTAAGGCTCAGTTTAGAAAGAGTACAAATGCAAAAATACACAGGGTAAATGCATACAAAATAATATAAAATATAAGGTTTTGCACTCTATATATCTGCATTTACTCCTCCCAAACTAAGCCTAAGAAGTTAAATTTTATAGGTAAAATATATATATTTATTAGTTATACAAATATATGTATAGACTCGATGGGAACATGTATATATTACATGGTGCATACACATACAGTAGTACTCGTCACAACATCAATGAACAGCCGAAGATCGGGATTAATTAATACCCACTTCCATTAATTAATTTCCACCATTATTATCATCTCCTTTTCCACTCCAACTGTTGTAGTTTTGCCGAGGAATGGTATGATGGTTGTTGACATTGGCCCCAACTCGGTACGAGACTTCAGTACTTGTCTCCTTGTCAACTTCTCCTCCAAATATTCCACTCTCGACAAGCTGTTTCTGGTCTTGTCCATGTATTTCAGCCATTAGAGCTTTCCGGCTCACTGCCAGACAAGAGCTCACCATCATCAGGACCAGAAAAAGAGCTACCAACTTCATTTCTCTGAGTTGTAATTAGTTTGGTTCCTGTCATACCATATATACCAACAAATTAGATTAATCAGAAGCTACGATCATGCACAAACAGATATAAATAAGATAATAAGATAGAAGTCTATATAGTAGAATTCTCTGTACACTAAATATGCAGGTTCCCTACAACTAGGAACACAGAAAGGTTTAAACTTTTAAGCATCAATATGGCGTAGTTACGTTATAGTACTGTCCACTTACAAACAATCTTGAAGCAACTGATCCCAAGAGACAGATGAAGGCAGACTGTGTGTGATGAGTTAATGACTTAACAGAGATATATGGTGTAAGCTCCTTATATAGAAAAAGAAACTAGGGTTACTTCACTGACATTGATATAAAAAGAAATCGGTTTTGGAGTCTCCACTCTCCACCAAAATGAGAAAAAAGATTGATTTTAGTGCCTCTTTAAATGATGGGTTCAAGAAAATTCTGTCCATAGTGGGAGTCTACTATTTATGGATCTAGAACCCTATCAGCAATCAGTGCAATTAGCTTAGGAACAAAGTCAACCGAGCGCATTGGCTCTCCTGTTGCATTACCCCACAACCTATGTATCATCTATGGAGCAAAAGTGGTTCTCCTGCTGATTTGAACTCGTTGCATTACACAATAATGTGAAGCAAATTGGGAGAGACATTTCTAAATTAGGCAAATTCTATGGTGCATGAGCTAGCAGCTGCACCATGAAGCAAAAAAAAAAAAAAAAAAAAAAAAAATTGAACCAATGATATAACGACAAATTAAATATTTTACGTTATTGATAAATATACTTTGTAAAATGTGAATAAATTTAATATACATGTGGTGTTTTTAACATGATAGGTTAAAATTTTGATTTTACATGCAACCAATATTCGAAATACATCTTAATAATTTATTGTAGGTATACCCAGAAAGTATGAGGCTTAAGCTTTGTTTGACCTAGAGACATGAGTTCAAATTCGACTTGAGTCAAAAGCTAGTAAGCTCAAACTCGGCTCAGCTCCATTTAAAGTATCAACACTCATAATATGCAAAAATTGTATATCATGAATTTTCAGCAAATCAATCTCTCTCTCTCTCATGTTCAAAGTATCAATACTCTCTGATACAATAGAAGGGATGTATGTGTACCTTTTTTTTTATTCGATGCTATGCATCATTAATAACTTTCTCCTAACCCTTTTTTTTTCTATAGTACTGATTGCAGAATTTGATTCCACGTCAACACTGAAACAAATTAACCAACTGACACGTCAACAAACCGGCCCTTGATTGGTGGGATGTATCATCACTTTACTATATGCCTTTTATATTTTTTCAAAAAGAAAACTAAGGGGTTAGGTTTAAGCATAAATTAATTAACATATAAAATAAAAAGTTGGGGAAATATCCTTAAAATATATATATATTGGCACCCTACTGATATGATATGAGGCATATATCATGATAATTAGAACCTTATATCTTTCTCCAATGCATGTATATACATTGAATCTTGGTCAGCCCTAGCCTTTTTCTCATGGAGTGGGTCTCAAGCGAGGACTATACGGGCTAGGTTTTTGTTTCAACTGGAGTCCTCATTCCGAATGTCTATGATATATAAATAGAATTGAGCGTAGATCTAAATAGGGACACAGGATCCTGCAGGGACCAAGGCCATAAGGCCCATAATTTAACATATGTCCTACATTTAATGGGCAGGCCAAATCATTAACTGGGCCAATAATTAACATCAAATTCAACCCAATAGTATTTATAGACTAAGATTGTAGGTTAGGCTCCTCCAACTTGCCATGTGCAAGATCATATCCATCCCATCAACCAACATATTAGATAGGGATGAAACGGAAATGAATAACATTAGATTTAAATAAAAATGGTATCCATTCAACTGGTATTCAACAATATTCACTAGGATTGTGATTGGCCAAAGCTCTTCTAGTTCTGCCATCATAAATATTGTCATTGAATTAATAAAAATCTTATCCAATGGATTCATATTGGACGTATATAGCTAAGTAGGAATGGCAATGGGGCGAGGTAGGGTCGGGTTTTGTCTGTTTCGTATTTGACCCTGAATTGAAATTTCTACCCTGTTCCCACCCCTGAACCTTGATGAGGCCAAAAAATCTTAACTCCATCCCTATCTTCACGGAGAACGGGGATCCCCGATTTTGCCCCAGTCATTCTTACTTATAAATCTACTTAGAACTATTTTATATTGTGTAATATAATATAGTATAATATAATATATAATAATATATTATGATATAATATATATTAGCATATATTAACAATTTTATATGTATTATGTTATATAATATAATTGGGGTGGGGTCAGGGTAGACAAATACTGTCCCCGCCCCACCTCCGACCCCAGAGTTTTGGGTTTTCCCTAAACCCTCCCCGAACCCTGACCAGTGGTAAAAAAACCCTCCCCGACCAGGGTGGGGCCCCATGAGAACAGGTCAAATTACCATCTCTATCGTTAAGCTAAAAATAATCAAAATATTATTCATTCTCAATAAAATGAACTAAAAATAATTGGCTTTGATGAACTTATATATTCAAACCAACTTTATTAATAAATACATGTTAAGTGTATTTTTTAAATTTTATGGACTGAATCATATCAGATTAGATGAAGATTGGTGGCCCAACACAAATAAATGAAACACAACTAAGTAGAAAAAAAACGCCCTAATCAGTGAACTCTTCATTCATTTTTGTAAAATCTTCTCTTTTCCTTTATTTGTTCCTTTTTTTTGTGATATATAGTTGGTCCGGCAGCTGATATAAAGTTCAAAATCCTGACCTATTGGCCGACCAGCCCTAGTGGGCGGCCAACATCTACCACAGTTGATGAGCACCAACCTAGCGCTGTGAAGTGGAGTATGGATTCAGTCCTCACACCGTATTCACAGACTTCTGCAGCCGTGCATAGAGATATATGAGAATATTCATATTTATATATTTTTATTTATGGAGAGATATTCTTAATAGACAGTTGCAAGTGAACGCCACCATTTGTAATAAATTCAATGCTTCTGCAACAAAGGTCACAAGTATGTTTCCTCGCCCATTGCCTACTGCTACGAATTGGGATTTATTCCTCACGCAGAATGCATCTCACATCACACTTGTGGCTTGAGAACATCTCCCCATGAATAATAACACATAAGTATTAGGAGATATTCTCGATGTACAATTAGGACGTATTGTGAGGTTGACGTGTTGTGAGGTTGATTTGAGGAGAAGGTCCGGACTCTTACGGCTAGTGTCCCATTTGTCTCATTCATGTGCCCATTTTGTGGTCCGCATCATGACTGGTTCTGAAACCCTATTGGTCCGGTTTGCCCTCCTAAATGGGTAAAGAGTTCTGGCCAAACACCATCAAGCCCCCAACCCTAAACCCCAGAACCAGAAGGGCTACAGCACACCCAAGTGACCAACCCGCCATTCCCCGGTCCACCACTAAAACCTCATCTCTATGCGCCACTCCCACTCTGCCACTGCTTGGCTCGGCCTATTCTCCCAGCACAACCCGGCGAGCTGCAGGATCTGCTGTGGAAACTGCTTAATTTGTCTAAACTTCTTCTATATATTATCCTCTTATCCTCCCAGTAGCCATTAAGTAATTGCCTTCTATGGCCTTCTACAGCTGAACCCAATCTCATCTCTGAATGGATCTCTCACTTCAAAATAACTGTCTCTAAAAATGTCCTCCACTTAACTCATAATCCCAATATCTCAGCTCAGAAACCCACACAAAAAGAAAAAGCTAGAAACAAAATGCATACATTCTTCTATGATTCGGTTAGCTGTACCCATGAACTAAAACTGCTTTGATATTGGAATGAAACAGATCCTTCATGCCCTTGACCCATGGATTTGTGGGTTGCTTTTTGGTGGTATTAGAGAGAAATATACACATTCATTTCTACATTAATGGAACATTTTCTGCTACAAATATGTATTGTTATATTGATAATTCGCTTGCAGTAGCCCTTACATCATGTATCATATGCTACACATATATATATATATATCACTTCCGGCCCCAACTTATGTTGTTTATGTGCTACACCCATTAGAAAGAGCAAGAACTACTGATCATCAATCAGTATTATCCATTATTTGTTTCTAGAGCTATTGCCATCTTCTCCTTTGGGGCTGCTGCCATAATTGTCAAAGTATTGTCTAGGTATACTGTGATGGTTATTGATACCACCTCCGGAGTATCCAGCTACGTTGTTCTTATCTGCATCCTGTTCATCATCAATTTCATTGTTAACAAGTTGTCGTCCTTCCTGACTCTGCACTTCATCTGTTAGAGCTTTCCTCTGCACAGCCATGCTAAAGTTCACCATCAACAGGACAAGAAGAAGAGCCAACAGCTTCATTCTGAAGTGTTGCTTGCTGCTGTTATACAATAAAAATCAAAACCAGACGTGAGTATTTGACGGAAGATATATGAGTAATTAATCTGATCTGATTGAGTTCTTCTGTTGAATGCCCAATATGAACTGGAGAATGACTGAGACATTGGATGGTTCAGTCCATGGCAGCTCAGTCTGAATCAAACCTTAATTCAGACTAGTTGGGATCAGACAGCAAAAAAACCCTCAAAGAAAATAATGGTTTGATTGAATATTAGATAACATAAAAATTTATAATTCAATTCACTGGAAGATGTCTACTTACAAAACACAGAAGAGAAGCCAAGAGCAGATGGGCACGAGTACTTTGAGAGAGAGAGAGAGAGAATGTAAGATCCTTATATAGAAAGAGCAAAGTTTATAAGAGCACTTACGTAAACAAAGCCATTTGTGCAAGAGCTCTCAACCTCTCATCTGCTCGACATTGGAGCTTGGTGTTTGGTGGGTTCCTATGACAAAGACATGGGCATTTGATGAGATGATTCAAGTCTGATGTCAGTTAAACAGTGTCATTAATTGCCTCTGTTAAAATGATCTCCCTATCTCACCCAAAATCCACAACACTGAGCTTTTGCGAAAGTGCTCTTTGCAAGAGAGCTACTGTACTGATACACTGACAATTAATATAAAAGAATTTGCATTTGGCATCTGCACTGAAATTAACAAAGATGGAGTGGGTAGAACATATTTAATTGTCAATTAAATTGTTTTTTAATGCCATTTAAATGATGGGTTGAGGAAATTCTTTGTCCACCTTACATTTTACCAGTGCAACTAGCCAAAGCAAAGTCAACGAAGAACAGTAATTTCCATATTTCATTGCTTTCTGATGTCAATCATAGATAGAGAGAGGAATTAAAGTTTCTAGCTCCCAGAAACCTGTCATTCATGGAGAAGTTTAGTTTCTGGATAGGCACCTGTAAATTAATCCAATTGCTGTTTCAATGATTACTTTGGTTTCAAGTGATTCAGTTATCTATATTCGTCTTAGTGCCAGTCCTATCTTACCACATAAACCAATTAACTAACTTCATCGATTATCAAATACTATCCAAGGTCAATACTTTCCTCAATCTGTCAATTTATACAGTACACTTGTTTCCATATCATTTCTCTCTGCCTTTCAATTTAATTTTTATTAAATACCTCAAGAGTTTATCATATTATATGTTATCAAAGAAAGATACACTAAAAACTATCATATAAAACGTCATTCTTTTGGCATATAAAATGTCTCTGTCTCCAATATATGAATCAGTGCAAAAATTTTCAAGGACTACTGTTAGAATGCCTAAAGCCAAACCCATTTAATTTTTTCATCAGGACCATAACATCAGCTCTCACTCTAGGCAGCAATAGTAGTCTTCGATCTCTCTTTGGTAGTTTTCACTTTGTTTCAGATAGCTTGTTTCTGTAATTCATTTTGAGACATGGGGTAGACTCTAATACCAATTGTCATATACTTGACCAATATATATACCAAAAGCCCTAGGACTGTTGGAATATGTGAAGCCAAACCATTTTAGCCATTAGGAACATAATAGAAATCCACAGATTTCATGTTGTCTTCTCTTTAGGAAATTAATGAGGCTGGCCATACATCTGTCATATTGTTTCTTACATCTTTCATTCATCATCATTTTCACCATAGAATAGTGTTCTTCCCTCTTTGGCGTTCTGTTCATACATTTATCATTATTTTATTTACATCTCCAAATAGCATTGAAGACAAGTGAGAAACCACTTCTTAACCCAATTCAGACGCAACAATTCCCTTTAATTAATTAATAGCTTCAAAATCATCCCGACCCTAATAAATTGCCAAAAAGGGGAAAAGAGGAAACCCACATCCATACACTAACCAAATAACATATATAAAAGAAGAGTCCGGATGAGGAGTCACACTCGGTGAGTAAACTGAGTAAGCACTCGGTTAACTTTCAAAGCAAATTTCCAACACAGCTATCAGTATTCAATATAATGCTTACTCAGTTTTCTCACAAGGGTGTGTCCACTATGAAGTATAATAATGTCTTAATAATTCTTAACCACCTAAGTTTCTGATCCTTCTCCTGTATTATACTTTTAAATCTTTAAGAGGATAATTTCGTAGCTATTTCCTCAAGCTCGATGCTCTCTGAAAAACTTAAGACTCAGTTTGGAAGTACAAATTAATATCAATATATAGTGTCAAATCTTGTATTTTGTATTATTTCGTATGTATTTGTATTTGTAGGAGGTGTTCTTGTGACGTAGTACATTATGTAGAATAAAAAAACATAATAAAAATCCATACCACCTCAAATATCACAGAACACCTAACCCACCAATCTTAACATGCATCACGATTCAACTATCATCTACTTTGTGACCAACTAACCTGACCCAACTTATGATACCAATTAATTGGTTATTACTTATTAGTGGTGGCAATTGGGCGGGTTGGGTTGGGTTGGGTTTGGGTTGAGTTTCAACCCAACCCATTTAACCCGCCAACCCGTTAATGACTCTATTATGTAAAACTAAATGGGTTGGGTTCAATCAAAACCCGCTTTAATCTAATCCAACCCGCCCAAACCCATTAATCTTATATTTATGTACTTAAAACCAAAAACTAACTCCATCCTCATAAATAAATTGGTTATAGCTTAGTAGTAATAGTAGTTGTTATTTACACAAATGGTGAAGGTTCAAATCACATTACATGCATTATTTTTACACAAGCAGCAAAGCCATTTAACTATGTTCGGGCTTCGGATTTAACGAACCACTTAGGTTCAAACCGGTTAGATCAACTTGAACTATCTAATTGGATTGTCTTTGAGCTAATCACATCAAGAGTGATTGAACCGCTTAGATCTGGACCAGTCCGGTTGGACTAGGGCCCAAGTAAACCGGTTCGGACTGGTCAGACCAGACCGAACATATCGGATTCAGTCCGGTCGGGACCACATCCGACCGGGCCGGTTTAGCTTGGTCGGTCCAGACCCTGGATGGACCAGTTCACTTCGGTCGGACCAGACCTAGCTGGATTCGGGTCAGTCCCAGACCAGAGGCTCCATAGGATCTAGGTCAGCTAGCATTGTTGACCCGGGCCGGATTCGGGTCAGGTTGTATGGATACGAACCGAACCAGGAAAAGCAAGTGGGTGGTTTAGCGTCTGGACTTCACCCGGTCCGACCCGTTTCAGATTTGGGTCGACCCGAATCATCTTGTGTCAAGTCGGGCCGGGCTGTGTGAATACTGTTTGGACCGGATGACCCAAACTGGGCAAAGCAAGCGATACCGAGCCATCCCGTTTGAGGTCTATTTCAAATTCGAGTTGACCCGGACCGGTATATGTTGGATCGGGTCAAACTACGTTGAACTGAACCGGACTTGGGTGAAATTGATTTGTATTTATATTGGGTGAAGTGTGTTGATTCAAGACAAAACTAAATTTAGTCAACAATTAATGCATTAATTATAAATTATTTAATTCAAATGAAGAAAAAAAAAAGCTAAGGAATTAATGTTTATGTTTGTAATGGTTAACCCAACAGTTATCCACAACCCAACCCAACCCCACCAATTTAAATGGGTGGGTTAGGTGATGGGTTGATCACACAACTTGCCAAGTAAATGAGTGGGTTGGGCGGGTTAGATTCTGGGTGGGTT